AGTACACTAAAAGTTGTGGAAAGAAACTCTTGGCACTTTATTCATCAGTTTATTGGGCTGATTTATTTTCATCCATGAAGAAAATATCGATAGGACCATCGACCACAGGAGGCAAAAGTCTCTTACTATTTTCGCATGATATGGAATCTTGCCGTGTTACCATACGTTCGATTTATTAGGTTCTGTCTGCACTTTCTGATGTTTAACCGCTCAATTGTAACTTGCATTTCCCTTCCCATAGATCTCAGTGCTTTACACTCTAAACCTCTAAAATTTTGCTGATAAATTTTTAAAGGGAAGTTGGTCTTATACGAAGATTGTTCCCTCTGACTGATCAGTTTGTCAATTCGTATCACCTGTTTGCTGGATTATGTACTTAAATTGACAAAAGAAGTTACATGTTAATGTCATCTAGGCATTAACGCTTCTACTGTTGCTAAATTACCTCTTTTTTCGGTTCCTCTCCGCTTGAACTTGTGATTTCCACTTTTACGTTCCTCCAACCACTTCAGTAAAGCATCAGAAGGAGGCTCTTTGATTCCAACATGGAACACAACGTTACACACAGTGCCAGTTGCGACGATAATAAAACCAAGATACTGAGAAGAAAGTTATGAAAAGGTTCAAGTCTCGAAGAAATTTATTCCAGCTTTAGTATCATGATTGAGAAAATACGTTACTTATCTCCCAGGATGGGATTTTAATCAAACGCCGGTAACGTTCCACCACTCCTTCAGTTTTCGCTGACATTGTCCCGGCGAAACACAATGATAAATGTCAGGCATGCGCAAGGGAATCAGTTCTGGCCGGCCGCGCTGCAAATTCCCGCGCAAATTTGTTAAAGAAAACATCAGAAATAACAGCTGACTTGCAAAATAAGCGGAAGTACATTGCGTGACATGCCGTAGCCGTTCTTTCAGATGTCACGCGACAGCAACTCAAAAGGAAAGTATTGTGCAAGCATTATGTCACATCCTCGAAAAAGCCTGCCAAAGAAATATGCAAACAAGCAACTTACCATAAACTGCTGCCACATAGAAGGCGAAATACTTGCCTCTGAGCTTCTTCCTAATAGAACCCATGTCACGCAAAACACAAAAATTCCGCAAATAAATCGTAGAGCCGATCTGTTAAAAAAGAAAAAATTGAAGCGAGGGCAATTCGCGAGAATTTTCAATTAAAATGAAAACTGTGCTAACTCACATTTTATTATTTTTATGGCGTTTTTAAAGAAGCCGACCTTCGCACTTTGACCCCCCTATAAGAACACAGGGAGGGGAGGGATAAACTAATAAGATTAACCTGATAAATTATAATCCAGCGGTATGTAAATTAGCAGATGTTTTAATCGATCACGTACATCAATGAACTACTGTTTCAATATTTCAATGATTTCACACGCGAATTCATTTTTTGTAGTTTCAACGGGTTTGAAACGCAAGAAAAATCTTGAACTTGTGATTATTGACAGAATACTATAGTTTCATTCGAAAAAATTGGAGACTTCGTTCGCGTGGCAGTCAACTGAGCGGCTAACAATGAAACAACAAACCGAATCATCGCGGCAAGATACGATCCGAGTCCTTTTTAGACCAGATTCGTGTATATTAAGGCGTCAATTGAACAGAAAAGAAACTCTACCGAAAACAACGCTAATTATAACGCAACTTCCGAGTCACGTATTTTCTTTTTTTTTTTTTTTTTTTTTTGGACACTGATATAAACAAATGCCGCACGCTGGGTGAGCGGCGAAAAATATGACTGATTAACTTCAGTAGATTTCCGGCGAAGAACTTTGACTAAACCTGGAGTGACAAGTGGAAGATGCGAGAATTTCCGGGACAAATCAGTTCCTCGGTGAAACAAAATGTTTTGCTTCAAAATGTTTTGCTTCAAAATTATTAGCGTATTCGTAGGGAAAATTACGATTGCATCACCCCTTGTTCGACAAGATCCGAAATTTGATAAATATGGTCAATAATTCAATGGACTCTCGATCGTCAACTCAATCAATACACTACTCTCTGAGAGATTTTAAGTTTCTTGAACCTAAGTTTCGAAACTCTGTTACTGATAGAGCAAAGGGCAACGTAACATAGAGGTGATGGAGAACAAAGCTCAGAAAATTAAACAAAAAAAGGAACATGTAACACCATAGCTTAACCTTAAGCTTGCTAAAGTAGCGAACGAAGACAGCAGGAGGTGAATTCATTGAAGTGAAAATATATATTATACGTACATATTATAAGCTAATATTGAACAGTGAGCCAAATAAGAACTCCACAAACATGGAAAAAACATGTCATTTTAGCTCTCCGAAGATAATACGAAACTGAAATAATTTCAGCGCCATGCGAAGCTTAAAATTTCAAGCGCCTCTTGCTTACCTTATAGCATTCAGCTCGACTTTTTCGGATTCACTAATAGCTATCTCAGGGATTAAAGATAAATGACTGATCTGAACACAACCCCAGCCAAACTGAAAAAAGGCAGCGATGCTGATGTAATAGGCAAGCTTTAGCGAGTCGTTGGCTTCATCACCAATGAGCCGTGTAAATAAAAGCGGGAAGGTACAACTGACACAGAGTGACCCTACAATATGCCATATCTTTCTCCGTCCATATCGGCACACAGTCTTGTCGTTCAGTATTGCGATGATTGGTGTACAAACTCCGTCAGTAACTTGTCCGAGCAAGACAACGAGTCCTGTATGACCGTTGGACAGTCGAACTACTTTAGTCAGGTAAATGATAAGATAGCTGAACCATGTGTTAGCAGCAAGGTCATTCAGAATGTGCCCAACGCCATAGCAAAATTTCTGACCGACGGCTAGACGAGCTTTTTCTTGCGACTTCTTACAACGAAAAAAATTCGCGAGACGGTTCATCGTTTTACCGCAAATGTTATGGCTTCAATCTCAAAATTACGACCTATGTACAGGGAAAACTCCTTCGAAAGCGATCCACATACTCCGTGTTGAAATTAGCTACCGTCGTGTAAGTTAATCACCACTTATGTTGCGTCATAGAAGGGTGTGACTTCTGGTAGTGGCGTGATGCGATTTCGATACCACGCTCAGCCAAGGTCAAAGTTCCTTAAAGTTTGACTTTACGCCAGTTCATCAAAAGAAAATGTTTTCGAAATTAGAAGGATGGCAGATTGTCAGATCAAAGCTCTTGTGGTAAACGCGCAGAGAACTGGGAAATAATATATTTCTCTCTTAAAAGTTAGTGACATTATAATAAATTTTCTGACGACAGGCACTCTCTTACGCAAGTTATTCCCTCAGGCAAATTTCAGGAAACTGTTGTCTTTCATCACTCAAGCCACTTACATTTTTTAGCGACCCTTTTGAAAAAATTTTATAACATAAGTATCCATGAACATTGGGATCACCCGAAATTACTTCGACCTTGCGGATTTTTTATGAGACACCGATGTTCTCCTATAATTCCAACGGTTTTGCAGTCAGGGTTTCTTTTCCGTAGGCAGTCATGCCAAACATCATGATAAAATCAGACCTTGCATAACATTTTCCACTGAATCGAAAAAAATACTGGATTTTCACTGAATGGAAAAAATTGGAATCAGGAAGGGCAAGGGAGGATTCTAAAAATTTTCGACAGCATGGAATCTGCGCTGTTCATATTCGCCGTTTCTTTTATGATAATCGTAAACAGATCAAACCATCAAGCCTACTCTAGCGCTGGGAACAGTAACAAAACAACAACGGGTGATATCGAGGAAGACCTCGGACGAATATCTGCACTTTTGTCTAATCAGATCACCCAAGCAAAGGGCCAAGGTTTCCTGATAACTAGCACATAAAATAAACAAATATAAGATTCACTTTCAGAAGCTAGCGTTCAACTGTTAATATCGTTTGTGCAGAAGTCATATAGCAATTAAGTATTCACGTTAACCGAGTAAATAAAACAAAATAGCAAAATTATTTCGACTGCTACGGAAGGAAGCTGTTCAGTGCAATCTCAGAGTCAATAGGTTCAATATATTTCGTAATTTTTTTCCGTGTGTTATGTAATAAATTTTGTACAAAATCATTGTAAATTAACCGGAAGACTTTAAACCATCATTTCAAACTTTTGGTTTTAGCGGATACTTAGAAAAATCCAATATATATGTAAAAGGCTCTCGTAACTTTTTTGAATTTTTGGCGACGACATATGATTGTCGCGAAAATGGCACATTTTCAGAAAACAGTAATTAGAAATATATCATATTCTCATGGAATCAAATATCGAAGACACGCAGCTACAATTTCCAATCATGAACCCGGGTAGAATATTAATCATGTTGCAAAATCCTTTGTGCTTAGAAAATTGAAAATTGAGCTATACACGTCAGAGATTTTTATCACGACAATCGACATCGATTCTTAAAGTCTATTGAAAGACAGCGAAAGAAAAGTAATAAGTCGCCCTCCTCAAGCACCCTACAGGATATCTAATTAACTTACGCAAATTAAATTCTACGATGCACTCGTATTTAAAATATGAAGTCAGAAAAATCAGTGTTTTTCTGCTCTTTTCACGGATCGGTGACTGAAGATGAGCTCTTGATATTTTGGCTAACCCACGCGATAGGATGTCCTCCCTTCACGCGACTTCAAAGTTTTAGATAAAATTATACTAGTCACGTTTGTTGGTTGTCGCTCGTGGAAATATCATTGTAGGTAATTCTGAGAGGTAGATTTAATTGAATGAAGTGGAGTTTTGAAACTAACCCACCTTGAGTCACCCATTCGAACCCGATTGTTTTCGTGCCCAAAAATCATCCAATATGGCGGCTAGCGCAAGCTAGTCATTGGTGTCAAATCTTCCTAATCGCGTCGCGTAGGAATTTTCAATGGGAATAAGTTTCGAAACTGACGCAAACCGGAAACCGAAGTTTGAAAACGAAATATAATTTAAAAGTTTTCACCAGAAACGAATATTTTTTTTCTGCATGGTTTGTTTAAAGTAGTACACACTTAACTCAAAATGTTTCGCATCAGTAAAGTTACAGAGGAGAGTAGACTAATTGAAAGAACGAGGCCAAATTACACACCGCGGACTGTACCTTTTGCGATTCTTGTGTTTCTTCAACTTGTCGGTTTCCCTGGTTTGGTTTTATATTGTCTACAAACCTTTTCTTGCGGGAAGAACACAAGAAGTCCTCATTTCAACTGCGAAAATGGTAGCTTCGTGAACCACAACACTGCAATGATTGTGGAATTGTCGTTTACTTGCTCAGAGGTTCTCAGCCGTGCAATTTTTATCTCTTTTTTTCTAAAGCTAAAAGGATGGAAGGGCATGTGGAAGATTTTCAAACAGCTATGTAAAGTTTCTCGAATGTGGCTCTTAGCGTTTATCTGTATTCTTTGTGAGGTGCGTCTTGGCTCTATACTCTACTGGGTACCAGACTTATCATCTACAGCTCAAGCTATAATTGCTTTGTACATTCTAGACGCCTTTGCAATAACAATTGTAGCAGGCACGCTATCTTTCATAAAGATCTTGGAGTTGGTTGAAGACAATATCGATATAACAAGCAAATCTCGCCTCATTATTCTGTTCAAGTGTGTAATAGCGAGCTTCTGGGCTCAATATTTTGTATTTCTGATTATCGTTACTTTCCAGTTGGCGTTCGACGTTTCAGAAGTTGATCCAACGTTTGTGCATGAGGATTTTAAGAGAGCTCTAAACCTACTCAGAAAATCTGCACAATTTGTATTCATGAAACAAATAAGTGGCCGTCTTTGGGAAGCATTATTCGCAGACGAAAACCAGGAACGACAGCGATCAATAAGAGAAACGGAACTGGTTGAAACTGGAATGCTATACTTGTATTGAATGATCAGAAGATTGACTTTTTCCAGAGTTTCAATGAAAAAATAAATAGTAAACGAAGATCTATTGTCTTCCAGTTTTACGAGGTTAAACAAATGATTTTCATAACGCCGAGAGCCAAGGCAAATCACACTCATTATTCGAAAACAAATCGACTTTAATTTGGTTATTCACTTTCGAAAACTCATAATATTTCCATAGGAGTAATCGACTGGAAAGGTATCAAGATGATAGTTTTATCCGATCGTGAAAATAATCTACTTTGCATAGGAAGAGGAGACAAGATCTCAAGTCAGGAGTGTATTCTTCCTGAGACATCGAGAAGTTAAAAAGAAAATGATCCAGAAATTATCTCTAATTTAGTTATTTATTTGAGACATTTAATTTCTTTTCAGTATCTTTTTTCGGTCGAAGTCATAAACCGGTTTGTGTGTGTTACTTTGTTTGTTTGTTTGCTTGCTTTCCATCGTCAGAAAAGTCTAATTGGAAATAGAATCCGATTTAGGTCACTAGAGTCTAATATCGGACACAAGTATCTCAAATCGGAAACTAGTTTTTAAAATCGAACTTCAGTGTCGAAAATCGGACACTACTGTCTAAAATCAGATAGCTGTGTCCACAATCGGACAATGGAGTGGTCACTTTGGACACTAGTGTCTGATGTTAAACACTAGAGTCTGATTTTGGACGCCTGTTGCTAAGTTAGATACTAGTGTCCGATTTGGGACATTAATGTTCCATCTAAGACACTCGTGTTCTATTTTTGACCTTGATGTCCGATTTTAGACTCTAGTGTCTGATCTTGGACACTAGGGTCTGATTTCACACGCTGGTGTTAAATTATAGACAAAACGTAAATATAAGCTTGCCTCCATTCAAGCGGTTAAATTAAAACAGAAAGATATAAACACAAGCTAAAAAAATTATGCTGGAGAAAAAAGAACGAACTTAACAATTAACACTTATATTTGTTGCTGGGTTATTTTAGACTGCAGTGGATGCGACTGGAATTGTGATTTACGATCGAACCACTGCCTCCAAAGACTGAGAAACTACCGCTCAAAAACTGCAAACGATCAAGTTTAACTTTAAATACTAAAACGAATAAATTACTCAATATTTTTGCGTCGACACATTCTTTACGAGCGATGAAAGATTATAACTACTTTTCAAAGTAAAAACAACGTTCAACAGCGAAACAGAAGAAAAATAAAACTGATAATGACGAGTGTTTGGATCTTACACCCTGAGTGAAGATTACTTTGAGACTCATTCATCTAATATTTTTTCCTAGTCACATTTTTCTAGTACATATTTTGGTCGAATCTTACTCATGGCCGTTGTAAACTTTACCATAAATCGTTTGGAGGATCCAGTAAGTTACACCTGGAACGCAGTTGAGGCAAATCATAATTTTTCAGAAAATTTTCGGTTTATCCTTAATGCAAAAGGGTCAAGGCTTTCGTAAAGTTGAGGTCTTGCTCCTTTAGAAAGCTGACACGGACGAACATCACAGAATGCACAACCACATTACGCGCAGATTCAACGCGCGAAATGACGTTTTTGTCCTCTTCATCAACAAGTACACGATATTCTGGTTTTTCTGGTTCATCGTCCTTACTTCTGTATATAAGAAGGGTTGGGTCGTACGATTTCATACTTCCTCCCTACAGTAAGCCTTGACTAGGACACACCACAGTTGGCCTTCTGAAAAGACTCTCTGCGAATAATGTGATGCGTAAAGGATGCTCGGGGAGACAAAAATTGCAGCTGCCCAGTTCTGGACACCGAAGACCTTTTCGCCGAGTTCAAAATGACCTTTTACCGGCGTGATGCCTCTTGAACCAGCGGGGAGAAGGCCCCTCTCTAGTATAGACTGCAAATTCCTATATTGGGTACCGTGCCATACTATTTCCCAACTTCTGTGGATCTGATTCCACTGTGCTCGGGTGCGTGCGTCAAGTACCGAAGCGTTACGAATCAATTCCTTTGCGATAACTTTCCCCTTGTGCTCAATGACTCGCACGTTTAATACTATCATCTTCGTTCTGAGCTCTGCGGCCAGAGATGAAATCTGGTCAACTGATGCTGATTGAATCAACCCCGTTATTCTGCCTGAGGCGCTTTCGAGAAGGGCAGTATTTCCCCAGTTGTTTACGATGTCTGTTCTGGCCCCATATTGCAGTAGAAGTTCGATGACCCGTTCATGGCCGAAGTATGCTGCAGCATGAAGGGGAGTACTGCCATCTCTTTGCGGTTCATCGACAGAAGCACCTTTTTGAAGGAGTAATTTGCATACTTCGTAAAAGTCAGACTTGCTCGCGGTGTACAGCAAAGTTCTCCCGTACTCGTCCTTATCTTCCAAAAGATACTGTTTGCCATTGATCACACGTGAAAGCTCCTCTACATGGCCACATGCAGCGAGGAAAAAGTGGTCCCGTCTTCTTACGACGTACTCGTCCGTGCCGTGAACTCGCTTGTACCTTTCGCCTGATGAGGTGATTATATGATATCCTAAAGATACCAAGGCACGCTGCTGAGGAATTGACTGCGTTATAGAACGTTTAAAAGCTGCTTTAACTTCTCCAAAGGGAGCCTGAGATGAATGGAGTCCAAGCAATCTCCATGGATTGAATGGTTCAAAGATAGAAATCCGTTGCCAAGAGCTCCAATAAGACACTATAAGTCTTCACTCCCTGTTAGGGTTAAAATAATCTTCCAGATCCCTTCTGCTTGATTCATACTTGACACCAAAACCTGCACTACACTTTCTGCCTGATGCTCTATGTCGGCCTGGCGTTGAGCTTGGCGGCCGTGGAAGCAATCTGAATATATCACTCATCTGAAGGAGAAGTTATCGTACAACAAACTAAATGAATAAATCTTAAAATAGTCAAAATGATAATGAAGGGCAATTTCATACCTCGAAAAAGGATAGGAGCATTTGGAATTCATTACATTTACGGATTTACTGTGCGGTTAAGACTTCGTGTTTAAAAAAACCTCACTACCATTAGGAAATACGTCCTCTAATTGAATTCTTCACTTTCATTCCGTTTTGAATCACATGTTCTCCCAGTCACTGATCCATTCAAATCCAAGATTTACTTAGGTTCTTTCATTGTATTTTTCCATTCAAAACGCGAGTCTCAAAATTTAGCCGAAACACTACGTTTTGAGTCGTTTGAAATGTGCGCGATCTTGGGAAACCCTTGACTGTCTTGTGGCATGAACGTGCAACATTTCCCCTTTTATTTTTCCATACGCGAAGTGAGCGGTATTGTTTACATATCTCGGCATAAGACTTGCACAAGTTTGCGAAAGAACTTTGTAAACGAGGCTTACCGCAATATCATGCAAATATCAAGCGACTGTGAATTGGGCTTTATAAAGACATCAAAGCATCGCGAAATTCCTTGTGAAAGTGAAGAAACATTTGGCTCGCAGTCAGTCAAAAGTTAATTAATATGGAGTGTCCATCAGAATTTCATACATACATAGGATGCTATTTTGTACTATTTTGTCGACTTCCTGTGGAAGACTTTTTTTTCCTCAACAGTTTTGGAAGGAAACTTCATCCTGAGTTCACTCTTTTACTTTTTTATTCTGATTTGCTAGGAAATGCACAAAGTTTTTCCTAAAAGCACAAGTGCCGAGCTATTGTTTTGCTCATTAGATCTTGGTCGTTCTTCCACTTCCTTGTTGCCGTCGCTGCCGTGGTTGTTTAAGGTCGTAAGCTACTGTGGATGTCTCATCGAAATAATTTCTTACGTGACATAATTATTACCCTAGCTAGCTAGTAAATAAACTCATTAGCTAATTCACACAGAAACACTGTGCCCTGATTTTTATGCATCATAATTTTATGAATGTTGTTATGGTAGCGTGTAAATAAGTTTAGCAAAAATTGACCGAACCAAACAAATCTCTAGACAGCTAAATGTCACTCGTGTCACGCTAGGGTTATTTATAAATACAATCAGTATAGTGTTATATCAGCAGGGGCACAGAGTCAGTGTGTATCAGTGACAAGGAAGCCCTTAGTCATTCAGAGATCGTGGGACAACATGACGAAATTTTGTTACACTATAGTGTAAACTGAACCATTTTGTGATTTTAATTTCATGTTCGCTGGAAGAACTTTGTGCTTACCCCTGTATTTCTAAACGTTCAGCTGCAATTATTCATAAATGAAGCGTATATTTAATTTTCTATTGACTGTCTAACAATGCTTCCTGTGTGTTTATTCGGGTATCTCTTTGAAGGTACAATTTTTTGCTGTGCCTGGACGTACGCAATTATAATAGCTAGACGAATAGGGCGAGAACATAATGATATACACCAAAGATTCCGTCCTACGCTAAACTCACGACAATTTTTAACTCTAGCAGCAACATGAATTCTACCGACAGAAAATATTTCCATTCTGTGACATCCATTTGCGATGATTTTTTAATTCTAATGATAAATTTGCACAGATTTGAGCAAAAAGAGAATCATTTTGGTTTATGTGAATTTCAATAGCAGTTTTGTATTAACAATCAAATTCATTGCATCTAACTTAGACGATTGTTTTCATTGAGACGCAACACTCTTTGAAGCGGGAGTACAAGCGATAAATCGTCATAATGTTCAACAAGAGAGAATATCCTTTCTTGTGTTCACCAAGGAAAGTTGTATTGAACTGTTCATCCATCAAATACGACAGTTGGTAAAACCAGCACGTTACTCGGCACTTCAGGAGCGAAAATACGTAATGTACTCAGCTTTTGTGAATACCCTTGCTGACACGAGATAAGGACTGATTATTGTGAGCTAAAGCACCGACGAAAGCGATGGACAAAAGCAAGCGCATTTGGCGTGCTTTTACCCTCGCTAATCAGTACTAAAACCCTTGTTTTAGCTCCTAAAATTGACGCTATCGACCAAGACAAGAAGGAAAAGAAAATACAACTTCCGGGTATCATTTGAAGCTCAACACATCTGTGCTTTCCTAAAAATATCAATGACTATGTTGAACGGAAAATATCTTAAGTCAATTCTTTTAGTGCCTAATATCAGCCACTAGCACATACTTACCTACTAAGAGAGATGTCTCGGCGAAAACGTCGACGCGACAGCGCCTGACTCGCGATGTTAAACAGTGGAATGAAGTGAATTTCTCGAGACAGCGCCCTAGAACAGCCGCAAAGGCATCAAATGGGAATCCAATCTCTTGGTACCATCCGGAGACATATGAGTTGGATGACATGTGAGCCCCCCTTATTTGGCGCTGTTCAGTCAAAAACACCTGACGAGGTTCACGCAAAGTCTGCAATAGTTGTATGAGGTGTCCTCTTCGTAATTCGTAGACCTACTGCGGGCGAGCAAAGTAGCCCTTTGAGCGGGCCAGTTAGACTCTCGTGCACTTTGCGAGAATGTTGCAAGAGTAGCAGCGCCCATGAAAGCCTACATATACTCGCAGGTTAACATGTGAGGATAATGAGATCTTTTTCTGTTTGGTCATAACTTTTTGGACTGGTTTCGGACGTTATCGTCCAACTTCGGATGTCAGATGCCTCCATCTTCAGACGCTTCTGGCCTATTTCAGACGCTTTCTTGCGATTTCGGACGCTATCGTACATTTTCGCACTCTCTCGTCCAATTTCGGACACTGTCGGCTTATTTTGGAAGCTATCGTCCTAATTCGGACGCTTTCGTCTGATTTTAAAAGCTGTTTCTCTATTCCGGAGGCTATCGTTTGATTCCGAATGCTTCCTTACGATTTCGGAAAGTTCCGTCTGTTCTCGTAGTCTATCGCTTTGACACTAGTCACTAATCTTTCTCGGATTCCAATATGGTGGACGAAATGTGAAGCGAACGATTACTTTAACAGCGCCTTTGTACCTCAACTGTGGAATATGGAGAACAAACAGTAAGAAGATAGGGAAAGCTATTATGTAGTTTTACAGCATAAACGGGTGAAAAATATCGCTCACCTCGACGCGCTTTTATGTCAGACAAAAATTTATCTCAAAGTTAAGCGAGATGTTTTTGATGTCGTTCAATTGGATTTATTAAAAGAATAAACGTGTAATAAACGTAAGGCATGAACAAGATATTTACTTTGGAATATATGCTTGTAGTGCTTCTAAGTACAACCAATTGTCTATTTTTATGTTAAAAATTTTAGGAAATCATTGTCTCCTACACGTCAGTTGCAAGATGAGGTGTTTTTCACTCAAGAAAACTACAAGAAATACTCTTGTCGCCCATCGTTCGTGGAGTATCTAGAGAAGCATCTAAAATCAGGAAAAGATCAAGAAAAAAAAGTTGAATATAATCACGATGACACGAAAGCAGATGTCTCCATCTCAAGGATCCAGGAAGATTCTGCAATCACTGAGAAAGGAACCAGAAACAAAGGTGCTCAGAAAGGTGGAGCTAAGAGTGCCCCGGCTTTTTTGGGTCCATCAGTGGAATTCCCTGTTTTGTCAAAAGTCAGCCTTGAAAGTCAGAAGATGTTTGTGGAGATGTTGGAGATGTTAAGATCTGGTCAGCTGGCTAAAGTTGATTTGCAAGAAATGAAAGCAGTCCAGGTTTGTAAACATGCGACTTGTTATTATTGCATACTTTTTTTTTTTTGTTTGGTGATCTGACTTTGAAGAAAACAATGTATCTTTGAAATAGCAAAAACCGAGACAAAGCAGTCACAGTGGAGTAAATTTTACCAAACACAGCCAACTTTATACTGTTTGCCCCTTTAAACTCTAAGGATGACAAGCATCTAATTTCTCCTAACAACAATACATCTTAATTATTATTTGAGATCATGAGAATAAAGGAAATGATCACCAACCTTTAAAACTTCTATTGTTGAGCAAATTCTCCTTGTCAGCACCTTGGGAAGTTTATAGAGTATAGTATGGAGAATTTGCATACTGATATACTAGGGTTTAAACAGTTAAGTGGCAAAAGTCATGGCACCCTTATTTGCTTTCCTACATCATTGTATCTGAGTTCACCATCCCTTCCCCTTATTCCTCCCCCTGCTAATGTAATGTTGAGATGTAATGTTGATTTTTTTTTTATATCATTGTTACTGGAGTGCAGCATTGAATGTAGTTGCTGGTGGGTTAGAGGGGGAAGGGAAAGCAGGGAATATTTATTGCAAAAGAAGTTCTGAAATTATAAAAATTTGTCAAGGACCATCACTCTGCTTCACACTCTAAGTGCTTTCACCCTTCATTGTGACTTTCAAATAGCTACCTCCTTAAAAAGAGGAGCATTGTATTCAAAGCATCACAATCTTTATCCAAAGTGACATTCATTTATAAACAATATTACTTATGTAAACTGTGGGAAAAAAAACTTTCTCACTGTTCCTCAATGGACTTTTCATGCTAGGATATTAAGAATACAGTGTTGCTAGAACAAGAGGAATATCAAAAGTTTGTACATAGCCATGCGAAAGCTAATCATCACTTGTACAACTTTGTCCACCCTGATGTGTGGGATGACTTTAAGGTAAGAAGCTGTAATAACAGGAGAAATTTAACCCTTTAGCTCCCATTTGTGACCAAGACAGAATTTCTCCTTACAATATCAATACAGTATCAAGTAGAAAAGTGATACAAATAAATAAAAATATCAATTAGGGGATTATTAGTTGTTTCAATTCCAAATTCTTTGAACTAACATTATAAGAATTGTATGGTTGACAGTAGGGAGAATTATTAATGAGATCTTAAGAGTGAGAGGGTTAATTAATTAACCATGACAAAAAAATTAGCAGAATTTGTAAAATTATGATACAGATTTGTGTTCACGCACCTGAAAAATTGCAAAATACTGGTAAGTTGATAATGTAAATTGGCAACTGTAAGGAAATTCTCAAGCTGGCATTTTCAGGCATTACCCCTTCATAATTTGCTCATGAAGGACTAATGCTCAAAATATCAGTTTTAGAAACTCTATAAGGTGGCCAATTTACATTATCAAAATCAGTGGATGGAACCAATCAAAATTACCTTGTAATAACACCTGCCCTAGTTTCTGTAGAAACTTACCCCCTTTAATCTTCACCTTTGTTTCAGTATCACACAATTTGTTACAAAAAAAGAGAAACTTGAGGTCACAAATTTTCCTAGTGAATAGTTCTTAATAGTATATAATTCCATGGGCAATAACCCCCTGCTGTTTGTATGGTACTTCAGGTAGATATTGATGGAAGATTGACAGAAAGGGTCTACAAGTGCCAGGTAAGTTACCTCAATTTTTGATGTTTTGAAGATCTTACTACAAGGACAATTTTTTTTAGGAGAATGAAACATATCATGTTTTAACCAGTAATTGTGTTCTTTTTACGCAGCGTTACTATTCCTTGCATGAAACCATTGGTTTATCTGTTGGAGCTGTTTTCAAATCAGATGCAGTTCTCACTTTTGAGCAAACACTACTGCAAGTGGTAAGTATGAGACAAGACGTAATAGATTTAAATTTCAGATTTTGTGGGAGACATGGTGGCCTAACCCATGGTGCACAGGACTCTGGGCTGAGAGGTCAGGGTTGAGACCTGGCCTGGTCATTGTGTTGTGTTCTTGGGTAAGACACTTGACTCTTACTGTGCCTCTCTTCACTTAGGAGAATTAATGGGTACCAGTGGATAGTTGGGGAAGCTTAATGAAATGCTTGTGAAATCATGCACTGGACTGGTATCCTATCCAGGGAGAGGTAGTAATACTTCCAGTTGCTTCATGTTAAGGAAGGCAGGATAAGGTCTGTCTGGATTAGCCACATGATTTGAGTACAGACTTTACCTACCTACCCACCCAATCAACCAATGCAACATTAAGGCAAGGTATCAAATGTGTTAAAAATGATTGAAAGAAATTAGCCTCCTTTGGGGATTATAAGAGATTTGGCAGTATCGAGGGAGAGCATTTTGACCTCAGGTGTAGTGCCCTCTTAAAGAAGGAAGTTGGTTTATTTCCCCCCCCCCTTAAAACCTCCTCCTTCTTAAACTATTTCCAAGTAATGAGTAGATTTGTGTTTTTCCTAAATCAGGGGAATATTCCAAAGCTTTCCTTGCCTGAAGACACAAACATGATGCTATTGGAGGTGGGGCTAACTGTTCCAGAAGAGAAGTCAGTGCAAGAAAAGGCCAAGTCCTTCAAGGTATTCAGTAAGAGAATGACTATAAACTGGGTTGGGGGGAAGGGAAGGGAGGGCAGTTGTGAGCACCACAATGTCAAAAGGTTGAAGTTCATTTGGAGAGGTTCAGAGTGGTGTTCTTTTTGTTCTTGGGTATCAGAAACGTTACTTCTACAGGGCCCTTCCCTACCCAGGGTAGCAAGAATCACAGAATGAAGCAAAGTACAATCAATGTAATCCTTGCTTCCTTTCAGCAGTCAATTGAAAATTACTCTAGCACGTACCTTTCATTGGTAGACACAAACTTTTGGTCCCAGTCATGTCTTGTAAACCCTACATTTGCACCTGTTTGTTAAAGGGGCACTCTCCTTAAATTCAACTGTATTAGCTTTTGATGTTAATTTACAAATGGCACATGTTGTGGAGTCTTTTGTTCAAGTACACTTGCTCACCCACTCCCCCACAGGTTGTGAGTGAGGACCCAATTGCTGTCAGTCTGGCCAAGAAGCACAAAGTTGACATTGTGATCTCATCAAGTGGACTGGACACTCTCTTGAATAATCAGCCTCCTGATTATGGCAGGCAGTGGCAGCTGCCTGTCTCTGTTCAACGAGTAGAAGGTTTGTATAAAACTGAGTTGCAACACTTGCGAATTACAGAAAACAATTAGTTCTTGCGTTGTCGAGATACGAAGAACGTGGAAAGTTTGGAGAGCTTGAAAGATACATAAGAAATGTTCTGGAGGCTTAACCCGGAGCAACTCGTATATTTCGTGAAGCTTTTCTTCATTAGCAACAAAATGTGCGCAGTTATTGTTATCGGGAGTAAACACTTTGTTGTTTTTCCCACACGCCATATTCGATAGACTGAATTGTGTTTAAAATATGCGAGACAGCACCCTTTAATTTTGGAACACGTAACATCTGATGGCAGGCTGCGAAATTTATTTATACGATGGCAATTGCTTTCTTTTTTTTTCTTTTTTTTTTCGCACAGGCGGCCAGGAAAAAATTTGTACTCACAGAGTGGTGTTTGTCGACAAGCCTTTTCCTCCACAGAAGGTCACACCTCGTGATGTTAACGTGAAGTTTTACAAGCGTGCCTTGCGCAGGTTAGTGTGTCATAAAAACAGCGAAGAAAATAAAACAGGTGATTGCGACAGAGAAAGAACTATAAGCTCCAGTGTAAGTGGCACTGAAATGACGGAGGTGGAAAGAGCGGAGGAAAATGTTGGAATTAAAGAGTGTCCTTCCAGCGTGGCAACAACTTCCGAAAGACGAAAGCGTCGAGTTACTGATGAAGAGAAGCAGTGCTCTGAGGCGAAGAAATCAAAACTGTCTGATGGTGCCTCGAAATCCAAAGTTCAGAATCTCGACGTAAATGAAACGTGCAAGAACAACGATGAAAAATTCTTCGTTTATAATCTGTGGAGATTCGGAAAGTTAAAAGTCTTGATACGTTGCAGTGTGGATGCCTACAGAGAAGAACAAAATAAACCAAAGTGTTACACTTTTTACAGTGTACTTCCAAAGCTCGAATACCAACCTAACTTCGGTCACGAAAAATTGTCGCACAGTGAGGCTGGGCGGTTTTGGCTAAATAGCTACATTCGCCAGAACACCAGAATCATTTGCGGCAGAATTAATGTTTACAATTCAAAACTGCTGCGAGTTGACGAACTTTCCATCAACGATATTCTTCAACAAGGGACGGGTTTTAATCCGGCGCAGGGAATGAAAACGGTGTTTCAGGTTTTCCAAGCGTTGAAGAGATTGCCTGAGGCCAACTACATTTTGTCTCACAAAGCAGGAGAGATCCACGCTTGTCTGTACAAAAGCGTTCATTCGCAATCAAGGTCTGTAAAATCTTCGTATGATCTTCACAAAACGCGGGCGCCTGTTAGTATAACGAATTACACCGAGGGAGATATTACCTACGTTGCTATAGATTGTAACTTGTTTATGCCGTGGCAGATCAGTCAAAAGAGAATCCCGTGCACTTTTCCTCCTGTCTCGGACAGAGAATTAGCCATGATGGCAAAAGCCGAGGCGCAACAGATTGCAGCAAATACTTCAAAGAAAAGCAAAAAGAAAAGCAAAAAGGGAAAGAAGAGCAAAAAAGGAAAAAACCAGGGGCTTGCAACAAAAAAATCTAACTCGGGAGCCGGGGCTGAACAGTCATGGAAAGCTGACAACAAACGCAAACCAGTTACCAAAAGGAAAGCGAAGATCTTTGCAAGTTTTTACGACACCCAGCCGGCAGAGAAAGAGAGTGAAATCTTTGCAGTGTCCAGGCGAGCTTCAGGCGCAATCTCCTATGATGATCTTGATTTCTAAAGAGATTTCTAAAGAAAACAAAACAAAAGTTAAGAGAAAAGATGAAGGAAGAACAATGAAAGGAGAAAAAAATGGAGTTAACGAAAAATCCATAGCAAAAGTCTTTGGACGCTTCATTTTTTCCTGCCCATATGCATAATTATTCGCTTCCCCCTTACACCCACCCTTGTTACGATGTTTTGTTTTCTTTGTCTAGCTTTACGTTTGGAATGTAATGACAAGAAAAAGCAATGGACTTCGTAAAGGAGCGTTGTTT